TGAGTGCGACGAACTACTTTAACACCTGAAAAGATAAGGGGCCCAAATTAGAACATTGACGACCAAGATCTCCAATAAATTGATCAATCTCTAAACTATATGTGACAACAATATCATCCATGTAGATAAGAACAAAAATTCGATGGTCATGTTTGTTGTATATAAACAAAGAAGTATTAGCATGTGAATTTGTAAAGCCCTAATCAAGGAAGGAACTACAAAGTTCAATGTACTAGGCACGGGGTGCTTGTTTAATATTGTATATTGCTTCCCGAAGATGACAGACATAGTGTAGTTGATTATAACCAATAAAAATTGGGAATCAAGCCTATGTATACATCATTTGTTAGGCTGCTATATAAGAAGGCGTCGTTGATATCAAGTTGAATAATCGATTAGTTACTATCTAAAACAAGGCTAGGAATTAGCCTGATAGTGGTAGGTGATGATTGGATAAAAAAGTTTCGTGATAGTCAACTTTGATATGTTGATGAAAATTGTTTGTTTCTAAACTGTCCTTGTATTGACCAATAGACCTATCAAGTTTCTTTTTAATGCGTAATATCCCTTTTACAACTAATTAAATTTTGGGACTGTATGGGTGGGATTAGCTGCCAAGTGTCATTTCTTGAAAGAACATTCTTCAGACATAGCTTTATGCTAAATAGGATGTTTGAGAATTCGTGTGTGAGATGAAGGATCGATGGCATCGAGGTGAAAATGCCTGACAAATTCAATTTTTGGATAGGTTCGTTGACATAGTTCTTGTTATGGGTAACATAGGATGAATATTTGCCGGTTGAGTCAATGGGTCAATAGAAGGAGAAGATTATGAATCAGATGTGGTAGGCCGGTAGTTTAAGAAGGGGTTGGAATTAGGAGAATGAGAAGGGGGCATAGATCCACCCTCAAGTGTTGGGCCTCCTGGCACATGAATGCGCTAATAAACTGCTCGATCAAGAGGTAGAGAATTATCACTTTGTGTTAGACTTCGAGGGAGAAAGCATCCTAGGGGACGGTGTGTGGTGCAAGAGATGTTCAAGGGAATGCTAGAGCGCATACTTTCATTGCCTCCCTCACCTTGTTTGGAGAAGCCTTGATCTGCGTTTCTACTGGGTGTGTCCAACTATTCACGTGGTGGATAGACGAGTGAAGATTTGTTGATGCGTTGTGTTCCATCCAGATTCAAAGGTCAATAATATTCAATATCTTTAGTATTATAAGCTTG